GTAAGATCAAGAGTACTCAAAAACTTGGACAATTCATTGATCTGAATTTAAGCCTATTCAAGGTAAAGGATACACATTGAGGTAAGTGAATTTGTTTATATTTAGGAATAACCGACACACATTCATTTTTTGTGCCATTTATTTGTAGCGATTACAATTTCTGCCCTCCAAGGTGATTTGCTTGGTTCTATAATTTTGTCATTTAATAACTTTTTTATTTCAGTTTGAATGAAAAGCTTATTGATGTGACTGAATCTTTGAGATTCAGTTGCAATCAGATGAAAGTCTTCAGAGAAATTAGTAAATAATGTTGCTGGAGATATTTGAGATTTCTTTAGACTGCAAACTAACAAAGGGGGTAATTTTTCTCCAAAAGTTATTGTTATTTTGCTATGTTATTTCATAAAAACTTGACCAAGAATAGCATCAGTACATAAGTCAGGTAAGATTGACAAGGTGTACTTAATTACTTAACTACCTTGCAGTTGCCTTTGATTTTTTTTTTCAGTGATGAGGATGCCATTGATACACTACTGCTACATTTTTTATGTGGAATTTCGTACTTATTAATAATATATTTGTTTATAAAATTGCCATTTATTTCAATCTTTCAAATAGTGTGTGAGACAATTAGGGGCTCCAGTATTTATCATTGCAGGCATATCATTGGGTTCAGCAACAGCTAATGATTTATTCGATTTACATACTTTTGATGCATGGATGGCGATTGTTTTCACAGAAGTAATTTAGAAGTACCAATTTTCATGACTTGTGGTGAAGTTAGCTAATTATTGATTTAAGGCATGTTGGACTGATACTGCTCAGAGTGCCAAAAATCTAAAGAGTGTGCTTGGTCAAACGCCGATGTTAATGTGAGTTGTCTTGAACATCCAGTAGCCTCTGGCATATTAAACTTAAGGTTAAGTCAGTGATAAATGCATCTCTGATAGACTCGTCACATTAAAATATTACTCCTTAAAAGTTGCAGTCTTTTGAAAGGGTTCAAAGAGTTTGGACGAATTCATCTAGCATTTCGCCAGGTTGTTGTTTTCACGTTGCTAATTTATGCCGTGTGGATATATATATTTTTTGATTAAACATAAAACAGTGTGAGCACTTCGATTGCATTATTAAAAGTTAGCTAATTGGAGATGTACTCATACACAACAAAGTTTATAAATGATACAAAGTTTATAAATATTTTTAGCTTTTCATCAGATGTAGAACCTGAGGATAAAAAGAAGTTTTGGAGACTTTTAAACCAGTAAATCCATTCTTTAGTAGACATTGAAGAGTTTGGATTTGCGTCAAATCTTTCAGGACAAATGTATTTCTCCATTGGATAACTTTAGTGTTTCAACTTTTAAACACTTTAATTTTTTTTTTTTTTTTTTCATAGAGAGATATGATAGATAAATTGAAAAAACTAAACTTCTTAATATCTAAGGGTTTATCTTAGTAAATCATATGTAATTTATACAATAGAAATGTTTGATATTAACTATCTCATATTGACTGGAAAGTGCAGAAATGGCGAACTGTCTGTTCAGTGATGAATCGAAGTTCAACATCATTGGGAGCAATGACATTTGTTGTGTACGTCAACAGGCCAGAAAACACCTCGATTTACGTTACTGCCATAAAACCGTGAAGCATGGTAGAGACAATGTAATGGTCTGGAAGTGTTTTTCTGCTAACGGTCTAGGTCCAATACATCAAATCGATGGAATAATGGATCGTTTCATGTATAAAAATACCCTGAAAGATGTTATGTTACCTAATGCTGAATGGAATATGCCAATGAAATGGGTTTTTCAGCAAGACAACAATCCGAAACACACTGCAAAAGTAGTCAAGCAGTGGTTACACACACACATATATATATACATATAAATATATACATATATATATATATATATATATATATATATATATATATATATATATATATATATATATACACATATATACATCTATATATGAGCAACAAAATGCTCATATATAGATGTATATATGTATATATATATATATATATATATATATATATATATATATATATATATATATATATATATATATATATATATATATATATATATATATATATATATATATATATATATATATATATATATATATATATATATATATAACTTATGCTACACGTGCAATAACTTTATTGAATATTCGCCTATTTAAACTGTAAATTGAATTTTAGCTATTTTGTATGAAAGCTATTAGTCTGAAGAATAAAACAAAGCTAAAAAGTTTTGAAGTCTGGGCAATAGAGGGCATACTTATTACTGAAAATGCCACTTTATTTACATTACCCAGAAAACAAGGTAAAATATTGTTTCAACTTTAGGTCAGATTTCTGCAAATAAGTTGAGCAGATTGAATTGGAACTTTACACAAGTTGTTGAGAATTCTATACCAATTTAAAAAATATTTAAAAATTTATCAGAGACGATAGGCTAAGGAAAATAAATTTGTTTTTTTGATACCATATATTTAACTTACTTTACAACACATAAGTTCTTGAACGATTATTATCTCGGAATTTTTATATATATTATTAAGAGTTAGATTTTTTAATGTTAGATAACAAAATACTTCTTAAAGTGCTGAACTCATTCATTAAAAGTAATTAACAAAGACAATTTTAAAAAAATTGTTACACTCTTCCTGAGTGATTTTTCATAAAATTTATGAAAGTTATCAAATCTAAAGAAGTTTTACAAGAAAATCTTTTACTTGGTCAAAATTTTTATTTACACTTCTTATGTTTATGCATATTGCCTTATTTTCATTAGGTTGAATTTTAAAATGCTGCAAAGTATTTACATTTTTATCTTTCAAAATATTTTCTACATAAAAACTGCTCTCCCAGTTAGTAAAGAGAGGAGGTATATGTGAACATTTGTGACAGGAGGGAAGGGGTTAGAAATTAACAAATATAGGATGACTCTATGGACAACCCACTTAATTGCATTTTCAAACGATTTGCTAACTTAAACAAAAATGCTAATCAAAAATGAATTACATAAAAACCTAATTGTTCATTTTGTATGCAACAAAAACTTTTTTAAAAGATAAATGAATGTAGTTTTAACTTTATACAAATTATACAAATTTAAAATTAAAATGTGCTTTAACTAAGCATTGTTATTCAATACTTAAAATGTAAAAAGGTAACGTTACGTTTAATATTCTTTTGCATATATTATTAAAAAAAATATATGCAAAAGAATATTAACTAAATTTTAAAAGTTTTTTAACTAAATTTTAGAAAAATCAAAACTTTATGTTTTTGTTAACTAAAGTTACAGGAAAATTGCAAAAGTTTTTTTGTTATTTTCTTGAAATATATATTATTTTTATAGTTTAAAATCTAACCAACAATAAATTGAACATGTCAGTTTTATTTTCAAACTAAATTAATCCGAATTATGCAAATAAATTCATGATTAAAATAACATTTTACGATGATACTTTTTTTTATGACGCGACAATGAGTAAAATGGTATATTTCGGAAGCATAAAAATGACTTGAATGTATGTATATATATATATATATATATATATATATATATATATATATATATATATATATATACATATATATTTATATATACATATTTATATATCATATATATTTATATATACATACATATTTATATATACATATATATACACACACATTTATATATATATTCATATATATATATATATATATATATATATATATACATATATATATATATATATATATATATATATATATATATATATATATATATATATATATATATATATATATATATATATATATATATATATATATATATACATATATATTTATATATATATATATATATATATATTTATATATACATATATACACACACACACATTTATATATATATATATATATATATATATATATATATATATATATATATATATATATATATATATATATACATATATATATATATACATATATACACATATATATATATAGAAATATATATATATACATATATATATATATATATATATATATATATATATATATATATATATATATATATATATATTTCTATATATATATATATGTGTATATATGTATATATATATATATATATATATATATATATATATATATATATATATATATACATATATATATATATATATATATATATATATATATATATATATATATATATATACATAATATAATGCATATATATATTTATACATTAATTTTGATAATGTTTTATATTTATATTTTTTAAAATTTTTAAATTCATAAACAAAAATATAATAAATTTAAAAAAAAGTTTCATATTCTATTTTTACTTTTATAAGCTGACTAAAGAGAAAATTTTTATAAATCTTACATGACAATGGTAAAGTAAATATTTTGAATCTTTCTTCTTCATCTCCAATGTCAGCAAGAAGAAAGCGCCCAAGCGCAGTATAAAATAATGAACGGCACTTTGTCACAGCATTTGATTGAATACCCAAGAAAGGAAAGTGTTCAGACTATAAAATGACCATCAAGAAAAAATGTTAAAGTTTTTAAGACTTTTAATGCTTTAAATGCAAACAGTATTTTTTAAAAAATTACAAAAACAACTTACAGTATGGTTATTTAATACAAATTGAATTGCATCTAATTTTACCAGCTTCCTTACACTACTATAGCTTAAAGTTTTAGTTAAGGTAAAATAAATTAACTTTATAAAAAAGTAATGTATGTGCCTAAATCTGTTAAATTGATAATATGTGCATAAGGGTGTGTCATTATCATCAATATTTTCAAATTAAAACTCAACCACCTGGGTTTTAATTTGAAAATATTGTTGATAATGACACACACCTACAATTTGTGCCCTCAAATTTCGGGCCAATACAATTCAAAAATTGTAGAAAATATTAAAAATGAATTTGTGCCATACTTTTACTTAGGTGAAGAATATTTTTTTATTATTATATACTGTCATTTATAAAATTTAGAAAATATTAAAAATGAATTCATGCCATACTTTTACTTAGGTGAAGAATATTTTTTTATTATAAACTGCCATTTATAACTTTTACTTTAAAATCAAAAATAAAAAGATTTAAAAAAAGATAAATATTCTACCAAAAATCACAAGATTACTTACAAAAAGATTTTTATTTTAAGATAAAAAAGTGTAAGAGAAATATTAATGAAAATTAATTTCCTCATTTGTTGAAACACAGTTTGCCACAAATGAGGAAATTAATATTCATTAATAAATCTTAATTTTCATTACAGGTATAATTAAAACATTAAAATGATTAAAAATTATCATTCAATATATTAACCAAGTAATTAAATTTTATTTTGAAAAACCATAACTATAAAATTTTATGTTTTTCGGATAAAAATACTCACGCCAAAACTTTCATTGGCTGAGCTTCCTAAAATAAAATGATGTCAGCATGCTCTAAACAAGCAATATGTTCTCAGAACTGCATTCTTTTTGCTATAAAGAAACAGTGTATGGATGGATGATATGAAGGCGGTATAATTCATGACAAGCACATCAGGTTTGCTGAATAATATATAATTATTGTTTTTTTATTTTTACTGAAGTTTAATTTTGTTTATATTAATTTGTTAACTTGACTCTATTCACTCTGATATGAGGCTACATTAAAAAGTTTTAAAACAGTTAGAAAAAATGCAATAAATATTATGTGTTTCAGGAAACTATTAAATGATCTAGTTAAAAAAAAAAAAAGGCAACACAGCAGAATTAGCTAGAAACATCTTTTTAAAAATGCTAAGAAAGGTTTTTGAAATGAAAAACCTGATACTTGCTCTATTTTAAAGAAGAAACAGGGTAACAACCTAGATTCATACAATTCAGATAAAGAAGAAACATGGTAACAATCTAGATTCATACAATTCAGATAAGCAATTTTTAAAAGATCAAATGGAATGGTAAAACAACACTTGGTTCAAAGGATTTAGCGTATTGCAGAAAGATGAAAAAGATTGAGAGAACAAAAGAAGAAAGATGATTGTAATATTTAACATTTATTGAGCGACAAGTGGATTAAACTAAGAAAACTGGGTTTTTTTTATCAGAAAAAGTGAGGTCTTTTTCTGTCAGGATTCTGACTATTCAGACGAAATTAAATCAGATACTAGTGCTTCAACAGTATTAAATCAATTAAAAAGTTTGCAAAAGAAGTTGCAATTACAGGTGTTTCTAAAAATATTTTATCTTGAAATATGATTAACTTTCAAGTGCAACTAAATATTGAGAAGATATAATAAAAGTTGCCAGTCAAAGTAAATTTCCAATAATCACACACTTTGATGGAAAAATTGTGCAAGATATTACTAACAATACAAAACAAAAAAGAGATGCTTTTGCTGTTTATGTAAATATCAATGGTGATTTAAAGCTTCTGGGCATTCTGCCAATGGAACACGTTAATGGAAAATCTCATCATGATACTTTAGTAAACATTTTGGATAAATATAAGCTAAGAACCTGTATAAGAGGTCTGTGCACACAACTAATACTGAAAAATATTCTAGCCCAAACATTCTGTCAAACACAATTAAATTACAGCTTGCATGTGTTCAACATGCAAGCTGTAATATGTTTATGAGCTTCACTGTAAACATTTTTGAGAAAAAGTTGGTAAAACTGTTTAAGGTTCAAGGTAACTTTTAGGTTTATAAAGTGAGGGTTTCGGGGCACAAATTATAAAAGCAGGGATCTTAAAATATATATATATAATAAATATATAAATCTTACTATAAGTATGAGATCTGAATATGAGTATAAGACCCAGATGAAATACTATGCATTATCCATTACAATGGATAATGTAACAGTTAAAAATATATGAAATAAAAACATCAACATTTATTCTTAACTTTATATTTTATATATTTTTAAAACAAAATTAGGGATGTTTAGGCAAAGAATTAACTAATATTACAGGAAACTTGGTTTAACTATATTGCAGGAAACTTGGTTTAAATAACTTGCAAGAAACTTGGTTTAACTAACTTAAATAATTTGCAGAAAACTTGGTTTACCATGCAAAATTGTGCATTAGCACAATTTGCATGATAAACCAAGTTTCCTGCAAATTTTTTTAGAAGTCAGTAATTTATGTGATATGGGTACTTGCCATAGTTTAGCACATCCTCGATCAAATGCTTTTGATATTAAAAACCATTGTGTGTATGTATGTGCTTGGTGTACTATCTTTAAACACAATAACCATATGTGGTATCCATAGTACAATTCAATATAAACTACATTCCAGTGTAGCATAGATATGAATAAGTAAATAATAATTGTAAAACAATAAAGCCATAAATAAAATAGTAAACACATAAACATTGTCTTATTTTTCAGGGCTTAAAAATAATGGTTTGAAAGAAATGTCAGACTGGGACAATATGAATTTCTATAAAAAAATCTTAAGTCCACATTGATTTTGATTTAAAAGATTTTCATTTTTGACTTTTGTTAAATTTTATACTATTTTATTTTAAATTAAAATAAAAAATAATCATGCATAAATTAAGTATTTAATTTATCATTAAATATAAGAAAGATGAGTTACGTAAACAATTTTATAGAACACTCGATGCGATTGTTGATAATGAGTATGAATCCAAGATGAAGATATTTTCCATTTAAAAAATCAAAATAAGTATTAAAAAAATTCCATTAAAAAAATCAAAATAAGTAGTAGAGTGGATGAAATACTATGAAGCTAGAACAAAAGAGCTAGCGACTCTAGTGCCATCTACTAAAATTCATTCATGTGTTACTCATTTAATCAAGTCTCGTCCTTTTTCTGTGACTGTTTTTAAGTGCTCCAAAAACATATATTCGCCTAGTTTTTTTCCTTAAACATCAGTTCTTTGGAACTTGCTTCCTTCATCTTGCATTCCTGATTCATTTAATTTGTAATCTTTTAAGTTGTCTGTCTAAAAGAAAAGACGCTACCGGAAAACAACACCAAAAAGAAACTACCAAGAAATAACACCAAAAGGAGTAAAAAATCTTAAGAAATCAAGATTGCACTAGAAAGACAATATTTTTCTGATCCTAAATAAAATGTGAAAGATGTTTTAAAACTATTCACTATCTCAAGATGAAAATTACAAGACGGTATATAAAGTATACATAATATATATACAAAGTATACATATATATAAACATTTCCATTCTAATGAAAACTGTTTTCTCAAATTTCAGAATAATTGTTCTTCAAATCAACTTCTAATTTTTCATAAATTCTAATCATTTAAAACTTAAAGACAGCGTAATTATAAAAAAGGTAAAACTTCATATAAATAAGAAAGTAATTCTAGTTTAACTAAAACTTTCTGAAGAAGAGCTTTTTCCTTTTTTATATATTGTGTTGGATTTTAACAGATAATTCCATTTTATAATGTTTTTAATAATTGTTATGATGCAAAAGAAAAAAAAAATACACACTAAAAATACATCACTTTTAATGAAAAATAACTGTAGCGCCTAGAAATTTTTTATGTTTTGTTTTGAGTTGTTTTTCTTACTTTATTAATTTCCTAATGAAATTATATAAAGCTAATATGAAAGAAATTTAGTAGCAAACTCAGAACACAAACTGAAATCAGTTTGTGTTTTGAGTTTGCTATGTATATAATCAATAAAACCAAAACTAAAGATTTAAAAGGCACTTTATACAAAGTAAGAAAAGAAGACTCATAATTAAAAAGTATCACTAATGATACTTTTTAATTATGAGTTAAAATGGCAAATAGTTTAAGTTAGTACTTTGTTTCAGGTTATACTAAGAAAGAATAAAATAATATACCACAAACAAAGTTAAAACATATCAACAAATGTAAGGAGCCCCCAAATTTAGCATTGATATCATCAAAAATCATATTGAAAAATTAAATACTAATAAAGCATTTGGACCTGATAAGATTCATTCAAAAAATTTTAAAACCTTTTCAGTAGAGATCGCAAAACCATTATCGAAAATATCTGATGTCTTCCCACAGTTTGGTTAAAAGCTATCATAATATCTCTATTTATAAAAGCAAATAAACTTGACCCAATAAACTATCCACCAATTTCTTCAACATCAATAGTGTCCAAAATAATGGAGAAAATAACAAGTGACAAAATAATGCTTTATTTGATAAAAAATAATCTAATTATTTCTCAGCAACAAAAATTTGTAAACAAAAAAAGTTGTATAACAAATTTACTTGAAATGCTTGACTTAGCTAAGCACTGGCAGAGGGGTTAAATATAGATAATATAGATAACATATAGATGTTATTTTTATGGGTTTTGCAAAAACTTTTGATTCAGTTGCACACCCATGGTTTTTGGTGAAATTAGAAGCAATCAGAAACTACTAAATTAGTGCAAAGGTTTTTTCAGCAATAGAACACAGCAAGTAGTTTTAGGAAAACATGTATCTGAATATAAAAATGTTGTAAGTGGAGTTCCCCAAAGATTATAGATAAACTAGGTGGTGAATGGTTAATTAAATTTAATGAAAATAAATGCAAAATAATGCATTTTAGAAAAAGCATCAAAAACATGATTAGAATATTAAAAACTCAATCAAAAATTCATCTTGATATAACCATAACAAATGACTTGAAACCTCACATTAAAAACGCAACCAATAGAGTAAATAAACAATTTGGATTAATTAAACACTCTTTTATATATTTAAATGAAACATCAGGCAAACTTTTAAATAAAACATTAGTACAACCTCATCTTGAATGTGATGCAGTTATATTGAACCCTTTTAGAAAAGATAAATTGATAAAATTTAAAAAATACAACAAAAAGCGACAAAAATTGAGAATTCAAAGAGTTTATCTTATGAAAGGGGTTTATCTTATGAAAAAATTTAAAGGGGTTATTTTATGAAAAAAGGATCAATTATCTAAAAATTGAAACATTAGAAAATAGAAGAAAAAGATTCAAATGTTTAAAATATTTAAAGGATTTAATAAGTTTTCACAACCACAATCAATCATATTGTAACAACTACAAGAAGACATGAGAATTATAAGAAAAATAAAATAAGTTTTCACAACCACAATCAATCATATTGTAACAACTACAAGAAGACATGATAATTTTAAGAAAAATAAAATAAGTTTTCACAACCACAATCAATCATATTGTAACAACTACAAGAAGACATGAGAATTATAAGAAAAATAAAATAGGTTTTCACAACCACAATCAATCATATTGTAACAACTACAAGAAGACATGAGAATTATAAGAAAAATAAAATAAGTTTTCACAACCACAATCAATCATATTGTAACAACTACAAGAAGACATGAGAATTATAAGAAAAATAAAATAAGTTTTCACAACCACAATCAATCATATTGTAACAACTGCAAGAAGACATGAGAATTATAAGAAAAATAAAATAAGTTTTCACAACCACAATCAATCATATTGTAACAACTACAAGAAGACATAAGAATTATAAGAAAAATATTAAACTAAGGCTCAAAGAATGAAACAATCAGACACAACTTCTTCACAAACAGATTATCAAATAATTGGAACACTATGCCACGAGATACAATTAATTCATTTAGAAACAAGATTGCCTCGAAGTTCAAATAAAAGAAGCAAGCAAAATTATATAAACATTCAATTCTAAAAAAAAAAAAAGTATTCTGGTGTTGCTGTTTTTGGATGTGCACTAAATGGTTAATTATTTTTAGTGTTATTATTTTTGGGTGTGCACCAAACGATTTAATTATTTCAGGTGTTGTTATTTTTGGATGTGCTAAATGGTTTAATTATTTTGGGTATTGTTATTTTTTAATGTACACTAAATGATTCAATTATTTTTGGTGTTGTTATTTTTGGGTATGCACTTAAATGTTCAATTATTTCTGGTATTGTTATTTTTGGATGCGCACTAAATGGTTCAATAATTTTTGGTGTTAATATTTTTGGATGCGCACTAAATGGTTCAATTATTTTTGGTGTTAATATTTTTGGATGCCTACTGAATGGTTCAATTATTTTTGGTGTTGTTTTTTTTGGATGGGCTCTAAATGGTTTAATTATTTCTTGTGTAGTTTTTTTATATAATTATGTCTTATAGAATAAAACTAACAAAAATATTTTTTGAAAAAAGCAACTGCTTCTCTTTCAAATTTAATGTTAAGAAATAATACATTTTGTAAACAGCAACAAAATATAACACATACTACAATAAGATAAAATAAGATATATAAAAAATAAAATGGATAAAACAAATTTGAAAAAAAAAAATTTTCTGTTGGCCAATCAAGTATTTGTTAATAAACATTTTAAATTAATAAATGGTATTAATGCATTTAGTTATATACAATGGTATAAATGCATTATTAAACAAACTTTTAGTATAATTTTATAAAATGTAAAACACAAAAAGATAAACTTTGAAAAGGATACCCAATGGAAAGATCATTTAATAAATTTAATGTTGCACTTATAATTTTTTCACTATGTGACCAGTATTTCATATTTGTTATTCTAAATAAAAAATTTATTATTCTTAATAAAGTTTTAAATAAATCTTAGCTACATATATTATTATATATATGAAACTTCAGTGTTATCTTTTATATATTGAAGACACTAAGGAATAATACGCAAAGAATTACCTGTGTTAAAGGTTATCTGTAATAATTTAAACAAATTATTACAAAAAAAAAATAACTTAATAGCACTTTACCAATATCTAGATAAATAATTTTAATAGGTTTTTATCTTTCAGCTTTTTTTCAAATGTTTTTTATAAAATGTATATAACTTTGTATGCAATTATAAGAATATATATATATTTCTTTTTTTTTTTTTTTTTTTTTTTATTTATTTTAATTCACCTCCTCAAGGCCGAGACGGCCACTACAGACGAGGAGGCTACTTATTTGTGGCTATAACCCTCTCTCAACTCTATAACTCCGAAACACGAACCTTGACGAACAAGGCCGCTGCGCGGAGAAACGAGTTGAGCGCGGTACTACTAGGGACGTGGTGGGGATCGAACTCGGAACCACTCGTTTATGAAGCGAGCGCTCTACCACTACACCACTACCGCATAACACTTTTAACACTTCCAACAAGGCTGCAAGCAACCACTATTAGAGTTGGGAGTTACAGGAAGAATGTGCTCTAAGTGCTCCAAATATAAATTTTTGGAGCACTTAGGAACAGTTACAATAAAAAGATAAGACTTAATTGAATGATGAGTAACAAGAATGAGTTTTAGTAGATTGCATAAGATATGCTAGTTCTTTAGAACAGTGCTTATTATAGTATTTATACAAAAGAGAAAAGAAATACAACATTACGACAATGTGATAATGACTGGAGGTTGGCTGCAAGAGCAGGTCCAACTATGTTTACAATTGATTTTTGCATCTTGTATAAAAGAAAAAGGACATCATTCGAAGATCTGCTCAAGGTATGGCAACAGTATTCCATACAAGGACAAACTTGAAATTTATAGAGATATAAAATAGAATCTTGAGTAAGAAAGTGGTGAGTACAATAAAGAGAACCTTAGCAGATGCTGATTTTGCAATCGATTTGATATATGGTTTCCAAAAAAGATCAGAAGTTAGAGTTAATCCTAGATGATAAAGGGTAGATGACTCATCAAGTATATTACTGTTCATAAATATAAGAAGATCTAAATTATTGCAATAAAGATTGGTTGAAAAAATTGAGTTTTATCTGAATTAAAGCTCACCAGCCACTGTGAGCCCCATGCCATAGCAGAATTAAGATCATTTTCAAACTTAAATGCTCCAAGCAAGCAGAGTGTTGGTTTCTTATCAAGACAAGAATAAATGGTAGTATCATCAGCAAACAATGCCACATTAGATATGAGAACTTCTGGCAGATTTTTAATATAAATTAAAAAAAGTATAGGGCCAAGAATAGAACCTTAAAGAACCCCTGAAATTACAGGATACGAAGAAGAGTGCTGTCCATCGAGGACATTTTTTATACTATGATTGGTAAGGAAGGATTCAATAACCTTAAAGATGTTACCTGATACACAATAGAAGAAGAGCTTATGAAGAATTCCAGCTTGCATATAACTATTATGTATACAAATAAAAATAAAGACAATTGAAATAGGAAGACTTCATTTATACTTTTATTGAACATAGACATGCTGGCTCCAAGAAGTCAATATAGGTTTTATGAAAAAGATTTAGCATTACATGCACTTTATAATATATAATTATTTTAGCACACTTAAAAAAATTCGGAAAATTTTATAGTATTCCATAATTCTTATGTCACACATTACTATTCGCCTTAAAGTTTAACTTCCAGAAAATTAGATAATATATTTTAGAGAAGCCTAAACAAGTGAATTTAGATCATGCTACTTACATGATACTCAAATAAAAAATATATATGAATAAATCTTTTTTACAGTGCCAATGGGTGCAAAAGCTTGCATGAGCTAAAATAGGAGAGTACATAATGAGGAAGATTTTTTCTTTATAGGTAAGATAATACATCTTTATAGGTAAAATGTTAACTAGAATGTGGTCACACTTTTTATATTTTATTGTGTTATTATTCAAAACATGATATTTTAATATTTTTATGCTGTTTTTCCAAAGTTATTTTTATAAATACTTGCAATCCAATAAGTTATTTTAATTGAAAACCAGGTATAACTTTTAGGTCTAATAGTCTTAATTAAAATCTAATGTAAAACTATATCATTATGACTAGTTTTTTTCAATAATTTAAGATTCAATAATATAATAATAATTATTAGCTGAGGTGGGTTACTATAATTTATTTTGTCAATTTATGATGTAATATATTTTTTTTAACCTTTGTTTTAGAGATACAAATAGAAATGGTTATAATCTATTAAGTAAAAGAGTAATCAAATAGCATTTCAAATCAAACACATTGAATCAAACAATTAAATAAAGAATTTAATTTACAGAACTATAAACAACAAAATGACTGAAAAATATTTTTTTCAACATAATAAAAATGTAGTAAAATATTTTTATTGTTAAAAAAAATGTATTTTCTAATGTGAAAAAATGAATTTCAATCATAACTAATATTTTTGATAAGTAATCATTATTAATTAATAATCTCTTTACATGAATAATACAATTTAATTCGCTTAGTTACTGATTAATACTGGTTAGCTTATCTGTTCTGTTCTTTAATTCTGTAAAATAGACATCTTCTAGTATTTTAAAATAGTTTAATCACAAGTTCAAGATGTCATTTTGATTTGCATTGCCAATTTTTTAATGAAGTTATCTGTAGTTATCTTTGTAACCCCATTGTTTGTTTTTTTACATTTGTTGTTTGTTTACACCTTAACCTTTTTTTATTTATTTACTTGTATTGTTTATTTTAATAGTTTACGAATATCTGTTTTGTCCTTATTTTTTATAGTTGTTGTTTTTATGATATTGGTTTATTATCATTATTATTATTATTATTTTGAACAAAACATAACAAAAATAAAAGCAGAAGATAAAGGATCCTATGTTATATTTATAATTTATATATTATACTAACAGTGAGTTATACCATTTTTTAGGTTAAGAATTTTAAATACTTTAAAATAAATTTTTTTTATATTACAAATTTATTTTAAATACTTTAAAATAAATTTGGAAACTTTAAAATAAATTTAAAAGTTTCCATTTTGATTAAGAATTTAAACCTTTAAATATTTTTTGTATAAAACTTTAAAACTATATGCTAGTCATTAAAATTTTAATTAAATTTATTTTAAATAAAGATTGTAGTTATTATCCAGTTTTTTTGACTAAAGATGATAGAGATAAAGTACTAGCAAGTAAGTCACATTTCAAATATTAAAGTTTAATAATTTAGTTTTAGATTTTAAGCTTAATATGAAAGAATTTATTTCCAAACTATTTTACATTTAAAATATTTTTAAATTTTGTTGATGGTTATCTTCCTTTACTTCCTAAAGACTCTACTAGTTACATACTTGGCCTGGACATTTACATTCCTAAGAATTAACCCATTTATCAGGAAATTAGGTTTGAATCCACAAAATATACTTTTATGTGCTTTCGTTTAGCACCAATTCACTCTATCGCCTTTCTCTTTGTTCTATATTGTTCTTCTTCATCTCAAGACTCCACTATTTTCAATTTTATTTCTGATAAAAAGGCCCAAGCCTCTCTCTTTAAACATCAGCCAATATTGCTGTTGTTGGTAACTTTTAATGCTCATCGTATTGAATGGCTTGGCTCTAGTGTCAGTGACTCTACAGGCTTTAAGAACCACAACTTTTGCCTTTCTCAATATCTAACTCAAATTGTCAACTTTCCAACTTGCTTTCCAGACAAACTAAGTTATTTTAGTGCTCAGTTTCTCCACATACACCCTTAGGTGCTTATGATCATGGTTTGATCTCTCTAAAACTATTATCTCATTCTTCTTTATCATCAGAATCACCCTATCATATTTACTAAAATATTTATTGTATTTATTTACATCGTAAGAACCATTGTAACACTTACAACTACCTTAAAGATGACTAGGATTCTTTGATTTTCTTTGTGATGGGTATTCTTTTTTCTTTGGGTAGAAATCTTTTGTCTTCCTGCTGACATATGTGCTTCTTACATAACTTCGTGGATTCAGGCTGGCATGGAATCTTTTATTCCATCTCGACGATTCCAAGTCAAGCCTCACTCTTCTCAATGGTTTTCCTCACATTGTGTTGCTGCAATTTCTAATCGAAACCATTACTTCCATATTTATCAGCAAAACAATTCTCTAGAAAACAGACATTTGTTTACTATTGCTAGAAACCATTGTAAAAAAGGTTTTGTCGAACACTAACTCCCGCTATTCTCAGGTCATGAGACCTTGCATTTCATCTCACAAATAGGCTCTCTTGATTTCTGGAGAACCTTTAACAGTATCAATAATAATGGCACATCTGCTATTCCACCTCTCTCATATGGTTCAGATTTTGTCACCTCACCTAAAGACAAAGCTGAATTGTTTGCTATGAACAACTAAAGACAAAGCTGAATTGTTTGCTACCAATATCATCTCTTGATTCCACTAGTTGCCTTTTAACTGATATAGCCAACAAGCAGGATGATCCATTGCTTGACATTTGTATTACTCCAGCTTCTGTATCTAAAGTGATTTCTTGCTTAAACTCTTCTACAGCTTGTGGTTCGGACAATATACCTGTTATAGTCTGTTATGGCATAAGTGTTCTCCGGAGCTGTCGCCTATACTTTCAAAATTATTTAACAAGTGCTTATCACAGTTTTCTAGCCTGCTGGAAAGCAGCATCTGTTACCCCTACTTTAAATAATTCTGGAGAGCGATCTGATTCGTCTAACTACCGTCCCATTAGCATTCTTCCTACCATAAGCAAGGTTTTTGAATCTTTAATTAACAAACACCTTATCTCTCATCTTGAATCTAATAACTTAATATGGATTTTGGTCTTCTCATTCTACAGCTGATTTGCAAACAGTAATAACTGATAGGTTTTATCATGCATTAGATAGAGGTTGAGAGGTTAAGGTTATTGCTCTTAAAACTTCTAAAGCGTTTGATAAATTTTGACATGCTAGTCTTCTCCATAAGTTTTCTTGTTACAGTGTATCAGGTAACATCTATAAGATAATTGAATCATTCCTTACCAATCATAGTATAAAAGTTGTATTCAATGAATAGCACTCTTCTTCATATCCTGTCACTTCAGGGGTTCCTCAAGGTTCAATCCTTGGCCCTATACTGTTTTTACTTTACATTATCGATTTTCCAGATATTCTCATATCTAAAGTGGCATTGTTTGCTGATGTTACCATTTATTCTTGTCTAGTCAAGAAGCCAACACTCTCTGATTGCTTGGAGAAGGCATTTAAGCTTGAAAAGGGTCTCACTTCTGCTACGACATGGAGCTCACAGTAGCTGGTGAACTTTAATTCAAATAAAACCCAATTTTTTTCAGCCAATCATTATTGCAATAATTTAGATCTTCCTATATTTATGAACGGTAATGCACTTGATGAGTCATCTACTCTTTATCTTCTAGGATTAACTCTTAAAGGATTAACTTCTGATCTTTCTTGGAAACTTTTTCTGACCCTAAACTTTTTAAAAACCAGCTGTAACAACAGGTACCACAAAACCAATTGTAACAACTGGTTTTGTGGTACCTGTTTGTGGTTACAACTGGTTTTGTGATACCAATTGTTACGACTGGTTTTTAAAAAAAATTATAACTTATGTTACTATGATCTTTTTATCCTGTTAACAAAAAGCCAAGATAAAACTAAAAATTAACACAGCTAAATATATTAGTTATAAAGATGAATATATATTATAATTCAGATAACATCAAGCTAAATTGTAATTATTGATTTATTTACTGTTAACCCATATTATAGGTTGCTAACTTTAATAGTTACAGGCTACTTACTGCTAAAAAAACAAAATTGTCAACTGTTACACTTTCTCTAACTTGTAAATTTTTGATAGATTGGTATAAATATATATACTTATATGTATGTCTCAAGGGGATCTTTGTATATGGGAGGGTTGTAATTAATAAAATTATAATTAAAAAAACTTATATAAAATAAGTTTTGAACTGTAGTAAAACTTGAATTTGTAAAAACAAACCTACCATGATCCATAAAAAAGGTAGATTTTTTCCAAACCTAACATCGCCTTATTTTTTAAGTAAATAAATACTTTTAATTTGTATTTTATTATTTTGGTAAAAGTTCTTCTTGATTTAAAACCTTGATTACTTGAAATGATAAGACTATACAACAAACAAATATGGAAATGGTAGGAGTGAGATTTAACATGACTCGCTTTACAGGTCTAGACAGTACTTTATTAATAACTATAAAATATTTAAAAATATTAATAACTAAAACACATTACATTTTTCTTGTATAAAGTTCCAACATTGCTGATTCATCAATAATTCCAAGATGCGCCGATATTACTTGATAAACCTACAAAATATTTGTTTTTTATTTCCTAATTTGGAATATGGTTTCTAAAAGTTTAATGTTATTTAAAAAGACCTTGGAAAATTTATTGATTTAAAAAGACCATCATACCTTGGAAGATTTATTGATTTGATCTCCTATATAAATTTTTTTAAATTGATCAAAAAATGTCAATAATGCTAATTCAAGCTTTTCAGAACCAACTTGAGGTAATTTCATGTCTGTTAAGTTCATCAGTTGAAGTACTCTACAAGAATAGGATAAAAATATACACATACAAATAAGAAAATATATTTCAATATACAGTATTGGGCATTAATAACAGTCTATCATGTTATTTTAGTATAAATAAAAGTTTGAAGTTAAATATTTTATTAACTAAAGGTGATTTTTTCTTAGGTTTTTTTTATTGAAATAAATCAAAAAATCACAATATATATTTATTATAAAATAATAAAAATTAAAAGAAATTAAAAACTAAAATATTGAAATTAAAAAAAGTGTTCATTTGTATCCAAAAAAAATGTGGCCAAAATAAACAAACCACAAAAACAAAATTATCACCTTCACGCCGGCGTGTACCAACGGTGGTACACACTAGACTGTCTCATTAGGCAGCGTGTACCACCGGTGGTACACGCCGGCGTGAACGTGTTAACAAACTTCAATAAAAAAAATATTGATATGTTTTAGCATAGAATTCACTAAATTTTGAGTAATATCTTTTAGAACACAATTCAGTAATTTTGTTACTAATTCTTTCAGCTAGTCCAGATTTTTTATTTCAATTTTACCTAAATTGTGGTTTAACCAAGACCACAAATTCTCTATGTAATTAAGATCTGGACTATTGGCAGACCAAGGCATGATTTTAATGTTGTTTTCTTCAAACAATTGCTTGCAAATCTTAGCAGTATGGAGCATTATCTTGTTGGAAATTTTAAGAAAAGGCATTAAATAATTATCCAATATGTCTATTAAAGTAAAATATGTCAAATATCTTTGAGAATCAAGGCTTCTATCAAAAAGTTTGAAACAACCAACACCTTCATAGTTTATGTAGGCCCAGATGCCTACACTACCACCACATGTTTTGTTTTACACATAGAACAATTTGGGTCTATTTTTTCATGTGTCTTTCTGAGGGATTGTTAATCAATGGCCAATACTGTATTTGCTGCACAGTATATTGCAATATAGACACCTATATATACATACATTCAACAGAATACACTATCCACACATACATACATTCAACAGAATACACTATCCACACATACATACATTCAACAGAATACACTATCCACACATACATACATTCAACAGAATACACTATCCACACATACATACATTCAACAGAATAAAATGCTCTTAAATTACCACAACTTTACTTATTAAAAACATTTTATTTTAAATATATACAAGATTTTCAGGATTATCAAAAACCTTTTATTTTAAATATATACAAGATTTCTCTTGTATATATTTTAAAACAAGCCATTTTAAGTAATTTTAGGGTTCTTTTTTTTCAAAAAATGTCTTTTGAGGGCAAGGAATCAGTGATTCAATGATGATTAAATTTTCTATTTTTAACATATTTGCTTCAAATCTAGGTAGCTATAATCAACCAATTTAGATGTAGCACAGCTCTTACTATTCACTCATTAAAAAAAGGATCATTTACATAAAATAAAAAAATACCAATGCGGAATGATGACAGCAAGCAAGAATTCAAATTCAAAGTTAATACCTGTATAGAAATCTGCAAGGAAAATATTGATGATGAGTCTTATTTTTATTTTGCCTGATAGCACAACAGATAACTATAATATTTTTTTCCTGAAACAACTTTGAAAATACTCCTGCCAGGGATATCAGCAAACTGTAAGATATAATCAAAAAAAGCTTGTCTGATTGTGCATTTCTAATAAAGGCCTGTGAAAAACTTTTTCAAGGGATTGTGCATTTCTAATAAAGGCCTGTCAAAAACTTTTTCAGTGACTTTTATTAATGAGTATTATAATTCATTGGCATGATCTTTTTCTAACTTCTCATACAGAAAAAACAAGCAAATGTTCTTTACAATAAACCCCTAGCCCTCAGAAACAGATAAGCAAAGATGCCCCACTCTTTCCCCTTGCTATACTTTCACACCTTTTGTGAACATATAGCAAACAGTAAAACATCTACAAATTACGATGAATTTTTTTAATTTAAAATTTTTATTTATAATAATATACATTTTTTATTATTAACTTTACAATAATATACATTTATAATAATTACATTCAAAACAAAATAATAAAAAATATAAAGTTTAAACTTAATAATTATTTTCATTAACTAGTTTAGCTAGTTCTGTGCTTCTAAAAGTAGACAGATTTTGGTTTTTAACAATCATACTACAATAGTCAGTTGAACCTTCTTTTTCTTTTTAATAGATCAATCATCTTTCTTTAAATTACTACTAAGTAAAGAATTACATATCAGGTATGTCTTTCTGGTTTTGGAGTAAACTCTGAAGTAAAGATTTTAGTTTACCATTATTCTCCCTGTAAAAGGTCTGTAAAAGGTTTTCATTGGTGTAAATGCTCCAGTAAATGATCTCTTTGCTAGTAAAACTTTCTATAAGGAAGATTAATGGTAAAAGGGAGAATAATGGTAAAATAAAATCTTTACATAACAGATACCAATAAAATATTTGGCTTCTTTATCTTAAACTTCTTGGTTACCCATTACATTATGGATGTTTTGGGTAAGGTAAAGGGTTAAAATACATATAGCATTTATAAAAAATCTCTGATTGGTGAAATCTAAAGCCCAGGATGTCTTACCCTAGAAGGTACTCAGTAAACTCAGACAATATTTTATAATCATATTTTAGATAACATTTTTTTAATAGCAATAAGTGATTTAATCAATCTGAAGAGTAAATTTTTTTTATTTAATGATTCAGTAGTGAAAAAAACCTCTTGACTTTCAAGATAATTTTGCCTAATGAGGGAAAGTGCAAAAAGGCAAATAAAAACAAGAAACATCAAGATTGCAGTTTTTAGTTTTTGTTTGATTTGTCTTCTTGTTATTGTGGACTTCGAGTAGAAGCTTGCAACAATATGTTTATTTTTATTTGCAATATTTGATTTTAGCTTTTTGCTAAACTAAATACAAAATGTTTATAAATTTGTATTTTTATATTTTGAGTTAGATACTAAATTTAAAAAAAAATATTCTATAGTATATAATTTCATATAATTTTATATTCTAGATAATTTCATGTTTTTATAAGATAATATCAGTTTTTCTGTAATGCTTTTTTATAAAACAATACAAAAAAAAAGTTGAAATTGTTTTATTGTGTTCATCAATTTTTTACCTAAAAAACTGTGGAGTATAAGAATTCATCAGATTTCAAAAAAAAGTTTTTTTTAGTTTTAAAGCTAAACCAAATTTAATTTAATTTAGATATTCTATAGTTGGAGATTTTCAATGAGTTCGGAGTTTTCAAAATTAAAAAAAATGTTAGAGTACTATGCTCAATTTTGTCAACAAAAACTTTTATTATGTTTTATTATAACATCAAGAAAGCCTAAAAGTTTTGTTGAACATGTAATTTTTTTTATATCTTCAGAAACTAGTAAAATGTATTTGATACTTATATGTTTTAAAAGTATATTTCAGAGCTACATTACAACTTATTAATAAAAAATTACCTTTGCATAGAAAATATTTAAAAGATTTTCTATGCAAAAATCAAGCTTAGGAAAATATATGTATATATATATATATATATATATATATATATATATATATATATATATATATATATGTATACATATATATATATATATATATATATATATAATATATATATGTATACATTATATATATATATATATATATATATATATATATATATATATATATATACATATATACATATATATATGTATACATATATATATATATATATATATATATATATATATATATATATATATATAAATATATAAATATAAATATAAATATATATATATATATCAGGGGTCTATTCTAGACCATTTTCGACAGTGTCGACCGTATTTAAGCGCCGCCCAAATTAAAATTTAACACGTTGACCGCCTTGCCTTTTTTTGAAAAAATCACATTGCCAAATAATCTTTTTTTTTTTGAATATTTCGTGTATACATATGTATACACAAATAAGTCAAAGAGGAGTTTTTTTTTTTTAATAATTTTTAGTTTTTGTTTGAACATTCGAACAATAATTTTCTCAAAACCTAAACTATTTAACTTTTAAATATTTAAAAATATATTTTTCCAAAATGTTCCAGAACCTTCCAGCACGCCGATAAACGGGTATATAAACCTAGCGTTTTCTGCTAAACACCAGTTCAGCAATTGTATGGACTTTAAATATTGTTGAATAAATAATTGTGATCGACTGAAAGAAAACTTGACTGTCGAAACTTAACAGTTTTCAACTTTTTTCCTCAAATACTTGATTGATATTACTAATTTTTTGATACAATCGTAAATTTTTATTATTTTCTAGCTATTAATTTTTCTTATTTATTAGAATGGTTGATGATAATATTGAATTAAACGATAGCTTTGAAAGGTTGCTGTTACAAAGTGATGACGAACATGATTCTGATTTAATGGAAACAATTCAACAGGACGAATCTGATGAATCCGATAGTGCTGATAGTGAATCAACTGATGGTGGTAGTGATGATGGTTCAGAAGAATGGTCGAAAAATGTGCAGAAACCTTTAAGATGGGATTTTGATGACGGAACTGCGGGCATGAATATGGATATGGTAATGGATTGCAAAGAACCTGTCGATTACTATAACTTATTTATGAACAACGAACTTATCGATTTTATTGTGGAAGAAACTAATCGTTATGGACCAACAAAGGATTCAAACTATTTGCCGACAAATAATATGGAAATGCGAAAATTTATGGCTATCATTTTGCAAATGGGATATGTTGTTCTGCCTAAACTCGATGATTATTGGTCCTCTGACCCTGCTATTGGCGGTAAAGCAATATGTGGAGGTGTAATGACAAGGAAAAGATTTTATTCTTTGATGAGATCCCTCCACTTCGCTGACAATGACAACAATAATGGATCAAAATTATATAAAATAGAAAAATTTGTCAACTTGTTCATTGCCAGATGTCAACACTTACTGGTTCCAGGCAGAGATATATGCATTGACGAAAGCATGATACCCTTTC